TGTCTGGCACATAGTCATCATTCCAAAGTCTTTAGATTCCTCCTCTCCTCCTTCTCAGAAGATTAAGAGTAGAGACTTGTAGGCTGCAACTCAAAATCTTTGACATCAGTCAGTGCTCCACTAAAAGGAGAAACCTCCAGTGGTCTTCAAATTCCATGAATTGACTTGCTGCTGCTTCATGTATTTTTATCTAATTGATGTGAATTAATCAGGATTCAGTCAAATGAAATTAGTCAGGGAAGAGTCTATTGTAGCAACTCCACTAGGGGCCAGCTGCTAGCCTTGGAAGGCAGGGATGAGACCCTGCTTACGCTCACTCAGTCAAGGGCTTATTATCAAGTGCCAAAGGCACTTGTTTTGTTCCTTGAGCCTCAGATGGAGAGATCACTAGGGAGGTTGCAGAACCTGCTTAAAAAAATCTGGCCTCTGACAGTACAGTCATCATGTGACAGTTCTGCTGGAGTTGGGGGGGGTGGTAATGGAAACCCTAGGAAACCTTTTCTAATTTTAGGACTCATTCAGTCGACAGGCGGTTATTGAGTAACAGTTAGATGCATAACCCTGAGTAGACTCAGGTATGGAAGGAAGAATATAAAAGAGTGAGGAGGGCTATGCTGGGAGAGCTTGGTAATTGGAGTGGTTTTTATTGCAGACCCTTAACTGAATAGTAAGACTCACGACCTCTGTTTAGCAGCCAATATGTAGGTGCACTTTTCTATGCTTCTAAATTCCTTCCTTCTTCCCACGCCTGAGCTGCTAAGTACACCAAAGTGTCCTTCTAACAGCTTCCCCTCTCTTGTTTTCCCCAGTGGTTCTTTCATTCTCTCCACTCTTTTTATGTCTTGTTTCTGTTTTCCTAGGAGAGATTGAGCTTTACTTTCCAAACTCTTCCCTGACAGGTCTCACATAACTGTTGTTCAGCAGAAATTCCAGGCTGATCCTATCCTCTTTTCTTGACTGGATTTCCCCAGCCCTGCAGGGTTTCACCCAATCCTTCCTAGACTGGGCTTTGTCAATGACTGTTGTCTAGACACTGGGGGTGGGACAGAAGAAGGAAATCCCTTAGCTGAGAATTAGTCCAGACAACAACAGCTAATTCCTTTAGCATGGTCTCGTCACTTTGCCAAAAATAATATAGCAACTAGAAAATATGCAGCTTTGGAAGACATGCAGGCTCCTCGGGAGTTCAGACACATACTTAAGAGTTTTGTCTGCTTAGCGATCCATCCACATGTATATTTCTACCTGAGTTGAATACTTAAGGCTTAAGGAGGCAGGGATTTTTTTTTTCTGTTGTTTTGTTGGGTTTGTTTTGTTTTTTTTTTGAGGTGGGTGGGGAGTGGGGGTGAGGAAGAGTTCAAAGCCCAAGGAAATAGCATACTAAGGTTCTAGAGTAAATGCTTGGAGGCAGTCCAGAGTTCCTGAATAAATAATTAGCAGAAAAGTAGCAACTACAGAGCTTCCCCTCCTGTTTGTTGAGCACAAGTGGAGATATGGGTGAGGAAGACATGGACAATTACTTACCAGATGCTGGGGGTCAATAAGATCCCAGATGACTGTGAAAACCAAGGTGTGATAAAGAACCAAGACAGATGGTTTTAATTTGTGAAATTTTTTGGCACAATCATTTTTTGCCAGTTAGCACCTATTAACACTAGGCAGAGCGCAGGGGTCACAGGGAGTCAAGAAAAAGGAGCTAGGGTTGTTTGCTGGAGCATGGAGTGGAGAACATTCAAAACACAAGATGCTGTTGCTTACGATCATTGGCAACGTTAGCTGCGCCCTATTACCCTTCAGAACTGTGGAGAGGCATCCGTGCTCCAGAGAGCAGTGGCTACCTCTACTAGTGACTTTTTGGTTCCTTCAGAACACCAGTCTGAGACTGTAACTGCTTTGTTTATTTATTCTGTATCATTTGCTTCTTACCGTTAGCCTGATTAAAACTGGCAGCTGCTTCAGAGAAAATGCCACGTCTGCCTTTTCCACTCCTGGGTCCCTGGCACTAGAACAGTGCCTGGCCACTGACCAGCACTCAATGGACATTTGATGAATGGATCTTAAGAGTGCTTATAGGAACTGAGGATGGAATTTTCCATGCCTAGCAAAGATTGCCTTAAACACACAAACTTGTTTCGTACATCTGAGTGGGAAAACAGGTAGATGAGGCTGCCTGCTTCTGCATGGGTCTTCTGGAGAAGGAAAGGTCTAAAAATGGCTGAAGAACCGTCAGCACAAGGAGAACACTGAGATGCTAACAGAGTGGCTGCTTGGCAAGTTGAAAACAAAACAATTCAAAAACGCATTCAGCACACCTAATCACCTGAGCATCCTAGCTTAACAGCGCAGTATACTGTGGAGTATTGGTTGTTTCCCCTTGTTAGTACAAAGCTGATTGGGAGATGTGGCTCCCTTTTGCTGCCTAGCGTCATGTTGCTACCACAGGAAAAGATCAAAATTTAATATCTGAAGTATGGTTTCTACTGAATTCAAATGGTTTTCACACCATCACAAAGTTCAAAAATTCTAAGTGGAGCCAATATCACTTGGGGACCATCTGTAGATCATCCTGGGGGTGCCAAAGATGATCAGAGGAAAATGGACACTGAAAAGCATGACGTTTTGCTCCAAGGTAAAAGAAAAAAGCTGAGGGGTAAATGTGGTGACTCACGCCTCTAATTCCAGCCACTTGGGAAGTGGAGGAAGGAGGATCATGGTTCGAGGCTGGTCCCAACAAAATTAGCTCGAGATCCTATCTGAGAAACATACTAAAGGCAGAAGAACTGTGGTGTGGCTCAAGTGGTGGAGCCCTGAGTTCAAACCCCAATACCTGAGGAAAAGAGAGAGAGAGTGAGAAAGAGAGAGAGAGAGAGAGAGAGAGAATGAAAAGACATATATCAAAGAGATATATCAGAGGCCCAGCAGGGGATAGGAAGAAAACTCCTTTCTCTGGGTAAGTTCTATGCTTTTTGTTAAGAGCCAGTGTTGGTATAACATAGGTCTTCTCAACTTTTAGTTCAAAGCCTGCCTGGGTGTGGTTAAAATGTAACTATTTTGACAGTATCCTCAAGAAGAGGTAAACTTTCCTTGGAAATTGACACTTCAGGTAGAAAAACTTTCGCCTTGGCCTTCGAAGGCCTTGGAGACCTGGTAAGTGGAGAGGTCTCAGGATGCAAAGACCACTGGTGAATTCACAATTGTCTGAATTCCTAATCTTCCTTGGGAAATAGTTACAACACTGCCATGGTTCATTAATTTGTGAACACAAAAACTTAACCCATTGAAGTTGCAGCTGTCATGAGGGAGGGAAGAAAAGTTGCGGTTTAAGCCACTGAATGTTGGTGTGCTTTGTTTGGAAGCGTAATGGTGACAATAACTAACTGATACATTGTTCTTCTAAAGTAAGTCCTTCAACATCTTATGCTCTACCTTGCTTGGTGTAGTGACACCCATTTTCTGCATTTATATTGCCATATCCACGTCCCGTACTTGTGTTACACCATCAAATGAACCCCGATCTCCTTGCCCATAAAACGGATATGATGCTTACTTTGCTGTGGTCTTGGAGGATTTAATGATCCAGCAGACCTAAAAACACTTTGTAAAGTGCAAAACACACCTTTGATGAGTGATGAGGGCATCGCCCATCAAGTGAGGTGGGGAAACACCATATGGATCAAGTCATCCTCCAGGTCAATATGCCCCTCCCTACCTTGGTCCATTCTGGCTTAAGGAGTGGAGTCACAAGTATGGGGAGGAGGCTAAGGGGCACATGTCTGACACATGTCACCAAGTGTGGTTCCATGGGGCCCAGACAGTCTTGGAAGATGGCAACGATTAGGTCTCCAGAAGGTCAGTGTATGCACAGGCAAGGTAGACAATGCAGAACCCTAGCAGGGCCACCACTGTCCTCACATCTATCTCCCCCACATCCATCCCAACACATATTATTACCTTCTACAGCAGCTAAAGGCCTATACCTGTGTTCCACTTAATTGGGTTACAGTGGTGGGTGCCAACTCTGTTGAATCTTACTGCCATTGTTGGGTATGTCTCAGCTTACAAGGGCAGGCCCATCTGTCTACTCCCTTTGGTATTGTTTTATTTGCTTTGTGTGCATAAGGAACCTGAGATTCTGAGAGCGTAAGTGACTCCTTCAAGGCTCCTTGGTTAGTAAATTTAGAGCTGAATTTTCAACCAGTTTTCTGATCAAAGCTTAGAAAGGCAACTCACTGATATGAGAATTCTATCAGTGGTGCCCTTAGAAAACAGGTGGCATTGGGAGAGGAGAGAAGATAGATTTGGAAGATGGGGTTAGCAGTGGACTTTGAAGGAGTGGGGGATGATGAGGAAGTGGGAGGGAGGAGCTGAGAAGGAAGTACAAACTGAGCCCAGTCTACCAAGAGTGTTTGTTCTGGGCTGTACCCTCTCGCACCCATGGGAGGACCAAAGGTGTCAGGAGGAGGACTTCCCAACAATAGCTCTGGGAGAAAAAGGATCAGGGAGGTCCAGGACATCTCTCTGATGGCAATAGTCTGGAGAGATGCTATCACCACCGTCCATAAGACCCTCCCTTGAGACACTTCCACTGCCCTCCTGGTTGGAGGGTGTGTAACTTGTTCTCTACTACACTGGTCTTTTAGCTATTTCCTTTGCCTTTTACCCACTCTGCTGACTCCTGAGACTGGTCTGCTGCCTGGCCTGGGATGGTTCAATGGTCTCTGCCCCAGGAAAGGAGATCTTTGGACAAAGCTGTGCTTATGTAAACACACACTTCCTTCAGAGGGCAAATATCAAGGACCCATTTCCACAGATTCAACAAAAAGCAGCATCCCTCAAGGCAGGAGATGGGTGAGGTTTGCAGCAACTTTCACATGGGAGGTGTGGTGTGTTTCCATTGCCAGGGTGCTACCTCCTTACACACAGTGTAGGTGACCCTGACCTGGAGCAAGCTTCAGTGCCCATTCTCCAGGTCCAACTGGCTTCTGTGGCTATGAACCTACCTCTGTGATCCAAAGGCCATTCTGTTTCTGAGCCTGAGGGCCTGAACTGAGGCTCTGGGAATTGGGGCACTGAGTGCCACTGTTCATCTTCTTCTCTGGCTTGGATATGCCACTTGGGGCTGCAGGTCGGGTCACACCATTAGAGGACATTCCATCTTCCAGCACACCTAAGGAGGTAAGCAGAGGATGGCACATGACAGTTGTGAAGAATTCCAAGATTGTGGAGAAAAGGGTCGTCAAACAGCAAAAAAGTCACCAGAAATTCCACTATACAGAGCTATACTTTTCTATAAGAATACATGTGTATTTATATATACATATGGATATATATATACATATATGAGATTTTAAAAATATATATAAATGAGCTTTTAAAATAATTTTGTAACTTAAAATTTTCACTTAATACATTGATGACAATTTTTCCATCCCATGAAACATTCAGCCATTATTTTTCACACATCTGTTATACAACTGTGCCACCATTTATTTGATCAATTGCCTCTCGTTGGATATTTGTTTCTACTTTTCAATATAAACATTACTGGGATGATACTTCTTGAGGTTAAAGATTTAGTCTTAATTATTCTTTGTGACAAATTCCTAGAAGTAAGATTACTGCCTTGTAGGTTACACAGAAATGTTTGAATATTTCCATCTCAAAGTGTTGGACTGAGCAGGTGTGCCTCCCATAACGATGCTGGGGAATGGCAGAAGTTTAAATAAATAACCTCACTGAAAAGTCAGAGGAGAATGGCATGGGAATTTGTGAAGGATGAAAAGAATCTGATTGGAAAGAGAAAAGGGCCCAGAAAGCATGTTTGGGGCCAAGAAGGATGCAGGAAGCAGGCAGAGGCTCTGCTGTCACCATTGAGAGGCAGGAGCAGTCAGGTGGGGCAGACACTCCACTCCTCCACCAGCTGAGGCCTTAACACCAGCAAGGGGTTTGGCTCAGAGAGAGGCAGTACATTCAAGGGCAATGCACTTACACAACTCAAATTATTAAGAATTTCAAGATGGCACCTGCAGAACATTAAGTCCAAACCAGGGCCCCTTAGAAGCCCAGTAAGCCCTGTGTGGCTGCGTTGGTTGCACACACATGAAGCTGCCTTGCAGAAGGAGACCTGCTGTGACTATGAAGCAATTGGGCAGCCCCTTGCTCTCAGTAGCCCCTCCACTCCCTGGCCACTTTCCTGAGCCATAGGCTTCTAGAAACAGTCTGAAAATCTCTCATTTGGCTCAGCGTTTTCACTTTCCATTGGTGACTAAACTCAAATTACAACTCTGATTTCTTAACGCCCTCCCCCCACCCAATCCAGGAGCAACTTTGTAAATTTATATCCTACTTTTAGGCAAATAAGCAGAGGTGAGGACTGGACAGAGAGGTTTTTTATTTGGGTGTTTTGGGTTTTGTTTGTTTGGGGTTTTTTTGGTATCTGCTTCTCCTCTATTGCCTTCAGCTCAAAACAATCCTTATGCCAAAGTAGTGTATTTGGAATGGCATGTTCTAGTCTTCTACACAGGGCATACCTCCGGGTGATGAGGTAAAGATCATTTTGGCTTTATGTTTTTCTGTATTTTACAAGTTTTCTAAGGTTGAATATATTTTTCAGAAGTAGGAAATACAAGTTAAATTAAATCCATGCAGCAAAAATACCTGGTTTGTTGCAGACAAAAGTAAAAGTTACTAAGTTCATATTCTTGACCTACTGTGGTGACCTCTTAACCACACCAGACAGATTACACTGGCTTACTACTTGGCAATGCTGGTCCCCAAGCTGACTCTGTTTCTCTGCTTGTCATCAGACTTTCTCTACTTATTTATCAGGCTCAGTGGCTTAGCCCTTAGCTGATGGTGTGACTCCTAAGTCAAGAATGTAACTAGTGGGACCACTGAAAGCAGCACAGGAGGACAGGCAGCTGGTCATAATAAGTGCACTGCATGTACCAGACACTGTTAGAACCCTTGTGGATGTACCACAGCCTATGAAATAGGAATTATTATTCCCATATAATAAGTGAATAAATTCTGCATTGTACTAGCTGCTGGGTTCCTCATGCACACCTCCTGCATACCACCTCTGTCCCCTCACAAGCCTAGGAGGTGTGAGAATTACCCTTATTTTATAGAAGAAATTGACATTAACCCACAATCCTAAAGTTTGTGGTATTAGCAACTATTTCCTTCTAGGAAAAACTCCCAAGAAGCAGTTTTCAATGTTAGTGTGTACGAGACCCACCTGGGATATCTTCAAATGCAGATCCCTACATCTGTTCTCTCAGAACTGAATCAGTAGAGGCTCAGGAATACAACTTTTTGAAAGTTCTCCTGAAGATTCTGAGGCAGGGGATTCTAAAGACTTCAAAGGTTCTTTTATATTTTGGACAGAGATACAGATATATGCAGATCTATGTCTGATATAAAAATCAACACTTAGGCTAGTTTTGAGGGTTGCTTGCAAAAATATTCATTTATATAATCCCAGCTCTTGGGAGGCTGAGGTGGGTAATCATGAGTTTGAGGCCAGTCTGGGCTACACAGTGAGACCCTGTCTGGAATAAAAAAAAAATTAAAAAGAGCTCATCTTTATTTTTTGCACAGTAAATTGTAGAACAATAATTCTAGAGGTATTTGGGTGCCCCTGGAGTATGTCCTTTTTGACAACCTTCACAAAATTTTCATCTCATCTAAAAGACAAGCCAAATCACTGACTTTGCCAAATGATGGGAAGCAGCTGTGTCAACGCTTGCTGATAAACGGCAGCCAGTGACATCTTGCCAAAGCTTTTTACTATTTTGGAAATGGAGCTGGCAAGGAGGGCAGAGTATAGAAATTAAAAATGGAAACTGGGGGCCACATGGAGAACAGGTTTTCTCCTTAACCCCAACACCTGGCTCTCTCTGATGGAGGTGATCAGAAAGTCTACCCAAAGTCATCAGAATGCCTGCAAGGCATTCGCCTCAATGACAAAAAACCAAAGGATAAGACATTGCCATCTACTTGGGAAGGATCTCCTAAAGTCACATCAGCTGAAACTCTGGCTCATCAAACCCTGTCTGGGCTCAGGTCCAAAGCACATGGCTGATGACACTTTCGCCTGAATTGAGATATAAATTAAATTGTGACTACTTAACCACTTGCTGAGAATTTGTCTCATCTTTCAAAATGAGCTAGAATAGCAAGATGTCTGTTATTTCTTCACTCTGATGAATAATTGCCAAGTACATACTATGTATCATATGATATGAGAACTTTTGCATAACTGTTATTAAAAAAATATTCTTTAAGCCAGATAGGACTGGTGGCTCATGCCTGGAGCCTTAGGTACTTGGGAGGCTGAGATGGGGAGGATGGAGGTTTGAGGTGAGATCTCATCTCCAAAAATAACCAGGGCAAAATGGATTGGATGTGTGGCTCAAGCCATAGAGCACCTGCTTTGCAAGCACAAAGCCCTGAGTTCCAATCTCTCTCTCTCTCTCTCTCTCTCTCTCACACACACACACACACACACACACACACACACACACATCTATCTATTTATTTATCTATCTTCTTTAAAAATGTTAAGTAGTCCTTACATTCATAGTCAATTGATTTTGGACAAGGATGCCAAAAAATTCGGTAAGAGAAAACAATTTTTCAATAAATGTGCTGGAACAACTGATCATCTGCATGCAAAAGAATGAAGCAGACTCCTATCTTGCACCACATACAAAATTAAATCAAAAGGAATAAAAAAATCTGAATGTAAGAGCTAAAATTATAAAATACTTATAAGAAACATAGTCATAAATCTTCATGACCTTAAGTTATACAATGCTTTTTTAGAAATGACCCCAAAACACAAGCAACAACAACAAAAAGACACGTGAAGTGGGCAGCAGCAAAACTGAACATTTTTGTACTTCAAAGGGCACCATGAAGAAAGTGAATAGAAAATCCATAGAATAGGAGGGAAGTTTTGAAAATCATACACCCGATAAGGGATAAGAGTTGAAAGAACACTTTCAACTCGATGACAACAACAACAAAAAAAGATAGCCCAATGAAAACAAGAGCAAAGGATTTGAACAGGCTTTACTCCAAGAAGATATGTAAATGGCCAATGAACACCAGAAAAGACGCTCAGCATCATTAGAAAAATGAATAGCCAAAACAAGGAGACGCCATTTTGCACCCTCTAAAGTAGCTATAATTTTTTTAAAAAGTTGAGTAATCTTGATGAAGATGTGGAGAATTTGGAAGCCTCCTAAACTGTTGTGGGGATATAAAGTGTTCAATTGCCTTCAATCCATCAGATCTTCAAAAAGTAGACATAGAGTTATCATGATCCAGCAAGGCCCTACCTAGTTATACACCCAAGAAAAATGAAAATCTATATCCACACAAAAGGTTCTAACAGCTCTACTTATAATAACTAAAAAATAGAAACAACCCAAATACCCATCAGCTGATGGATGGGTTAATCCTATTTGTCAATACAAAAATGAAGTACTGTTACATGAAACTTGAAAACATTATACAAAGTGAAAAGCAACATTATTTTGATTCCACTTTATCAAGAAGTATTTAAGAATAGGCAATTCTACAGGTAGAAGAGTAGATTAAGGGGGGAGAGATGGTCCAAACAATGTATGCACATATGACAAAATGAATAAATAAACACATACACACACACACACACACACACAGAAAAGAAAAGTAGATTAAAGGGGGAAGGGAGGTAAAGGAGAATGATGGAGGAATGGATCTAGATATATTGTAAGCATTTTTGTAAATGTCACAATGTACCCACAGTACAACAATAAAAATAAAAACAAATTAAAAATGAAAAAACTAAATAAAAAGAAAAGTAGATTAGTAGTTGCCCAAGGGTGGGGGATATTTGAGGAAATGAAGAATGACTTAATGGGTGTGGGTTCCTGTCCCCCAGGCAATGAAAATGTTCTAAAATTGGTTGTGGGGAAAGCTGCACAACCCTGTGAATTTTTTAAAAAATCATTTAATTGCATGTTTTAAATAGGTCAATTGTATGGTGTGTGAATTAAGGTTCAGCAAAGCTATTATTTTAAAAAACGATGAGCAACACATTTCGGAATGTTTTATTGACTAAACAAAATAAAGACGAACATTTGGACTTGAACAGAAATGGTTGGGGAAAGAGAC